AACCTTACAGCCAAAAGAGCTTTAAAAAAGCTACTCAAGTTGGCTTGAATTGAACCTACCTTGTCTAAGCCATCTGGAAGCGAAAATTCTCCCTCTTGGTTTACATTTTATGAAAATAAAAATTTGGTGTCCATGTTATAGATGTAAGTACAAGGGATTCAATACTGTCCTTAAGCCATACTTATCTATTAATATGGAAGCAAAACATATATATATGCATACATGTGTACATGTATAGTGTGCGTGCATTGTTAGCTTTTTCCAAGCTTTCTTCTTCTTTTGCCTTTACTCCATCACTTCATTTACACTCGAGACTAAACTGACAATCTGCCTATTGGAGATAAATGATGACCAACTTGAAGTGACAAAGTTCATTTAGACCTTTTTTCACCGTATTGGGTCAACGGCTAAACATACACACGAGCTTATCCAATGAAACTGAACAAATTTTACTCTTTGAAGGAAAGTAGTGGCTTCCACATGCTAAGGACAAAAGAGTGGGCCACACATAAAAAAAAAAGCACCCCCCCTCCACACACACACACACACACACACTCAAAAAAAAGAAAAAAAAAAGAAAAGAACTCTCAATAATCCAAATTTCAAATGTTCAAAATCTACCAGGTCGTTGATGACATCCACAGAATTTGAGTTACAGCATCCCAGAATCTAGCTTGCCTGATAAATAACTAAGACTAACTCCTAGTGAATGCTTTACACCTAGTCATTAAAAGAGCTCGAGCACAATCAGGTAACGATAATAGAAACTAAATTGATCGATTACTCAAATGAAGACGTCAATAGTCAAAATGAATTCAAACATGCGCAGGTGGAGAACGATCACAGAAACTGTAGAGATACTTAATATGCTTTGCTTTCATTGAAGCAAAAACTATATGGAAATGCGTACCTCACAGAAACCCTGGGTTACAGAGAAGGATGTAGAAGCCAAGAGAACGATGGGGAAATTGAATTTCGACTAAAAACTTTTTGTCTCTGTAAATAAAATTAGCAGTGATAGCTGGTTCGCCTGAAGCTACAAAAGTTTCTAAAAGGAAGTCGGAGGTTGAAGACGAATCCCAGCCGTTGATTCCGATCGCACTGGCTCAGCCAGTTGCCCGAATCAAAAACTACCAATAATCCCCGTATTTTCTTAATAAACATATGAAACCTACTCGCTTTTTCGAGTCTCCTCCATTCACAGAGCGCAACGTGTCCAATTAAGTCAGCTCAAATTGCTTTAAGCATGCAGGTTTACTAAAATACCCCTGGCTTAAAAGTGCGTGTGGACGTGGATAGGGACCACAAGTCACGCACGTGTTGGCACGTGGAACAGATCGGACTTGTACGGCGGAGAGAGAGAATACCGGAAAAAAAAAGGAGGAAAGATGAAGAAGTCTCTAGTGAAGTGCACGTCCATCGTAGGTTTGACCTGTTTGAACTTTCCCGCATTTGGGGGATAGGTGCGAACCGGATTCGATTATTTTTAAAAATTTCCCGCAATTGGGGGATAGGTGCGAACCGGGTTCGATTAATTTTTAAACCTTCCCGCGGCGGTAACTCGCGCAAACATTCGGTTCGATGCATGAAATAAGCTAAGTTGCGCGCCACTTACATTTTTAATAAATAAAAATATTTATTAAAAATATTTGCAATCTTTCCCTCCTGTTCCGCGCTGTTCGGAGAAACGGGACAAGGACTTGGAGAGAATTGAATCAAACCGAGGCTTATTTTGATCTCAATCGTCATCTTCGACAGTCGATCAAGAACAACTACTCTTATCTTCATTCTCTGTAGCGGAGCCCTAGTTGCCATCGTCTATAAGGTGCGACGCTTCTTTCCTTATCGCTGCTCCATTCTTTCTTATTATTTCCTGGAAGCGAACTGTTTTCAGTTTGTAGTGGTTGCGTCGATGATTGTCTGATTTCTTGTTCAATTGTCAATTCACAAGTATCTGCGGCATCGATTAAAACTAGTTTACTCTCGGTTTGCTTGATTGTTCTAGTAGTTGCATCAGTGAGATTGCCTGGTTTATTTTGTTCAAATACAAATGACAGTGTCTGCAGCGTTGATCAAGGCTAGTTTACTCTCAGCTTATTTGAATTTGAGGTAAACTGGAAGAGACGAAGATATAGAACTTCCTAATTCGCTTTGTGAAGCAATATTTCTTACTATGTTTATTAAGTTGAAACCAGAACTTTAGTCTAGAAGTTGTTGCTGAAGCCTGATGATCTCGTGCAAACGATGGATGTGATGTTTCCGGCTCTCTTCCCACTTTTGTATTCGTAAAATTTTTCATTCTCTTTGTACTATACTCACTTTTCCTTCAAAAGAATTTGGCGTTTTGCATGGCTCTTGCTCTAGAAGCTTGATTCTCTTGGTATTTTTGTAGTCCAGAAGATTAGGATTTATCTATGTGTTCTTGTAGGTTACTTGCAGATTTTTCTGCATGACATACGCTTGATAGCTTGCAACCATGCATTTTATAGTTGTTAGTTTGGCACTCAACAAGGATTGTCAAATTGTTGATGCACGGAGGCCTGAATCTAAATGTTGCTTCTGTACCTTAATCTTGAATTGCTACGAACTGCAGTATGAGAAAGTAAAACTTTCTGTTATTTTTTTAGTTCCTTTGGGCGAGATTGGTGAGAGTTTGAATTCGGTTTCAAATGCGAATGGTTCACTTAGGATAGAAAATGCTAATGTTTATCTATGAAGTTTACATGCTGTCATTTCTAGGCAAAACTTGTAGACGGATAATTTCAGTCAATGGAAACGGAAAGGAGACAATTGACAGTTTGTACTGTAATGGCTCACTTGGCATGTTTGCGTTGGTTTCAGTTTATATTCATCCAACCTGAGTTCATGACATGATGTCGGGCACTGGGGAAAGATATCTCCAAGACGATGCCGATGAAGCAGCTGATGAAAATGGCAAGCAGTCCAGCGCACAAGAGTGGACGGTAGCTATCGCTGCAAAAGGTGAGGAAGGCGTCATGACTGGTTCATCAAACGCAATCCATTGCTCTATTGTCATGAGCATTGGGAAGATTTGCAGGTGCTCTTGTCAGTGTCCAAAGAGAGCTAACAAAGCATATATTGTAAAGGGCCTTTGTGAAAAGTCAGGAAGGATGGCTGTTTGACGACCTGACTTTTTCGAAGGTAGGTGGGACATGGGGGCTGTTGAGGATTGTTGGGAGGGAGTCCCACACTGACTAATTTAGGAAATGATGAAGGGTTTATAAGTAAGGAATACTATCTCCATTAGTATGAGGCCTTTTAGAGAAGTTCAAAGCAAAGCCATGAGAGCTTATGCTCAAAGTGGACAATTTTATACCATTGTGGAGATTTGTGATTTCTAACATGGTATCAGAGCATGCCCTAAACTTAGTCATATCAATAGAATCCTCAAATGTCGAACAAAGAATTGTGAGCTTCGAAGGTATAGTCAAAAGGTAACTAAAGTGTCGAACAAAGGTTGTACTTTGTTCGAGGACTCCAAAGAAGGAGTCGAGCCTCGATAAGGGGAGGCTTTTCGAGGGCTCCATAGACCTCAAGGGAGGCTCTATGTGGTACTTTGTTCGAGAGAAGGAGTGTTGAGGATTGTTGAGGATTGTTGGGAGGGAATCCCTTGACTAATTTTGGGAATGATTAATACTATCTCCATTGGTACGAAGTTTTTTGGAAAACCCAAAACAATGAAAGTTGATGCTCAAATTTGACAATATCATACCAGTGTGGAGATATGTGGTTAGAGGCCTCATCAATACTCTCTCGGTTGCCGCCCAAAATGCCCAAGCAGTGGCCTTCTTAGAGAAAGTCCAGTTAAAAACAACAATGATCATAAAATCATTCAAAATAAAGCTTAAGCAAACAGATTTATAGTTTTCCACAGGCCGATTGGACTTCGGACCATTGAAATCATAAAACCCTGATTGCCGAAGTCCCAGTCTCGGATCCAGACTCTTTGTTTTGTTTCAACTCATCTAGTTTAGATGAAATCTTTTGTATTGGGAATTGATTTATTCAGCCAAGTTTAGACAAATAATGGCCATCTTCAGTAGCCCCTTCTAGCACTAATTTATTATTTTATGAAACAAATAACAATCTTTGAATTAATTATTTTATGTGTATTATTGACTTTGATTCTTCTCATTCAGAGTAGGTCAACCAATTTATTTGAAGATTCTGATCGTTGAATTTCTTAAACTGGAGTTGCTAGCTCAACTGCAACTGCCTGATCGGAGGTGTCCCCTTGTTGCAAGTAATTATACAGCCAAGAATTTACAGATGCATAATAGCAATTGAAGTATTTGAAGAGTACAGTATGTAAACATTATACGGCATGTTATATTTAATATTATTTTGACAATTTTGTTTATGTTTGAAATGAATAGCTATTCTTATAGTTGTAAACATGTGAAAAGTTCAGTTCTTGTTTGATTGATTGGAAAAGGAAACGAAAAAACGAAGTTAATTGGGTTCTGAATTTTCTTCCTCTTTGGGATTTCATAATTGGCCCCTGCAAAATGGAATATTGCTGTATGATTACTTGAGCAACCAAAGAAAGAAGATCCTTCGCCTGAGAGACTTGTAACACGAGCCATCTCTCGTTATGAACAATTGGGCGTCTCTCATGTATCTCTAGCCGCCATGGTAGGTGGCCTTTGATTCTTGCACCTTCTAATTATGACTCGGTAAGCCTCTATCATTGTCGACCATTTTCACTTTCTTAAGTAAACTTTTTTATTAATATATATATATATATTTATTTATTTATTATTATTATTTTTTTTCTTCTTTCTTTCGTCTTTTTTTATTTTCTTTTGAGTTGTTGATCAAGTTCATCCCATCGTTTCATCCTATTTTGTCTCTCTAACTTGAGAAAGAGCTTCAATGGCGGAACATCACCCTTCGGATATTCAAATCAGGGTCAATTCCCGGCAAGGTACTGCAATACATCCTGTAGAGGTGGATGCCCAGTCGTTGCAAGCGTCGGGTTCAATTGCTTACAGGGAAGTCAAGCAATTCAAGAAATGGATCTCTTGGTTAATTCCGTCATTTGTTATAGCCAATATTGTTATGTTCATTATCACCATGTATGTTAATAATTGCCCTAAGAATTCAGTCACTTGTATTGCTCGATTCTTGGGTAGATTCTCTTTCCAGCCCCTAAAAGAAAATCCTCTGCTTGGACCTTCATCTTTAACGTAAGTTGGTTCCACTGCGTTCTCATATTTTTTTTCTTCCGGAATTCTGTGTGTCAATTACATCTTGAATTTTTCGTCGTTCAAGTGAACTATGCATTGTCCACTGAACCAATTATTGCTTGTGTTTCAGGCTACGGAGTATGGGTGCATTAGAAGTTAATAAAGTGGTTCATGGAGACCAACTGTGGCGTCTCGTCACGTGTAATTGGTTACATGCCGGTGTTTTTCATTTATTGGCGAATATGTTGAGTCTCTTAGTCATTGGGATTCGTCTTGAACAAGAATTTGGATTTAGTACGTACCTTTGATCATTCTTTCCTTTTCTTTTCTGGTGTTGGTAACAGAATTATTCCCTGAAATGCCTATTTAAGAGGCGACCTTTGATTGTTGGCCACTTTATTAAGAGTTCTGTTGTTTTCCTAGACATGGATTATTCTATGTTTATATACAGTTGATTCACTGGCCTTCCACCCTTAACCAACTCTTTTGTGAATGTCTTGCAGTACGGATCGGCTTGCTATATGTTATATCCGGATTTGGTGGGAGTCTGTTGTCTGCTCTGTTCATCCAGTCAAACATCTCTGTCGGGGCTTCTGGTGCCTTGTTTGGGTTGCTCGGAGGAATGCTTTCTGAACTCATCACTAACTGGACGATATATTCTAATAAGGTACTCTTCAAGCCGCATTTGTATTGAAATTTTCTGATGAATCCTGACACTTAGCTTGGTTGCATTTTCTGGTCTCTTTGCCCCTTCAGGTACCAGCTCTTCTTACTCTGTTGGTCATTATAGCGATCAACTTGGCAGTAGGAATTCTTCCTCATGTTGATAATTTTGCTCATATCGGAGGATTTATTTCTGGATTTCTTCTGGGGTTTGTATTTCTCATTCGCCCGCAGTTTGGATGGGTTAGCCGAAGATATACTTCTATAACAGATTCTTCCATCCCCGTCGAACATAAATTCAAGATATATCAATGCGTATTATGGATCATTTCGCTAATACTTCTGATTGCCGGGTAAGCAATTCACATATATTTGTGCTGCCTTTATCCAATTGTATTGAGAGAGCATACAAAATTAGAAAGTGGAATCACAAGGTATAGGAGTTTTTATTTTTTATTTTATTTTTTTTAACCCAAGATATCTCAAGAAACCATTAACTTGATGTCAAAATATGCTTATAAAATCTTGTTTTGATGGTTAAACAATATTTCAGCGTCCCATGGAACTTCTTTAGTTATAAAAAAACGAAAATAATCTTCAGAAATGTTAAGTTATTGGCTGTCAACTAGAGGAATACACCTTCACTCTATGATCTGAGTACTTAATTCCAAAGTCATTGCATAGTTGAATCTTCATGTTTCAGAAAGATTAGTTTGATGAAGTTAGAATGTGTATAATACAACTTCAGATTCAATGTTGGATGTAGATTTTTACTTCCAGGTTTCTTATTGATAGTAGAAGTAAAAGATTCTTTCTTTCAAAGAAGTGAAGCGACTGAGATTATACCCATCTTGTTGACCTATTTTGGCAAGATGATTTAATTTTGAAACTGATCTAAGACGTTATTTTCCAGGTTCACCGTTGGCCTGGTTTTACTTCGTCGAGGATTTGATGCAAACCGTCATTGCTCTTGGTGCCATTATTTGTCTTGCGTTCCTACTTCGAAATGGAGCTGCAATTCAGAACCTACATACTGTTTGGTAATCTTTCCTTCTGCATTCTCATTTCTCCTTGGTTTTTCCTTACAACAGAGGATTTTCTAAAACATTTCATACCTCACCCTAATTAACAATTATTTAAGGCCTACTTTATAGTCATTTTGTTCCCTTAAAAAAAAAAAAAAAGTTTTCTCATAGATTCTTTACTTAATAATCTAGTTATTAATCGGGATTTTAAGAGCCCTAAAACAAAGATTTTCAAGATTTATTTTTATTTTTGAACTTTAGTTAGGAATTCGAGTATATTTAGCAAGGTGAAAAAAAAAAGAAAAAGAAATCATAAGTGGGTTTTAACTTTCAAAAACATAAAACTATAAATTATTATCAAATAGCCATGGGCATTCCAAAATTGTCAGGTGCTTGAATTTATATGAAGATAATTTTAAACATTGATAACAGTGGGCAAGTCTAAGACATTATGTTGGTACAAGTTAATAAAAAAAAAAAAAAAAAAAAGAAATATACCAATTTTATTTTTTGATTAAGAAAACCACTAAATTGAACTTTGAGGAGCTTTTGAAATTTGAGAATTAAATAGTGAATACCTGGATTTACTAGCTCAATTCTGTTGACATGCGGAAATTCACCTATAAATTTATCTCAAGANAATGAATGTAAAAGAGAAAAAAAAAAAAAAAAGAAAAAGAAAAGCGTAGTGCCCATCTTTGTATGAGATAAAAACTCAAAATCTAAGAAATCATAAAAGTAATATATATTTTGTTTTGATTATTGAATTGATTCTGAAATGAAATTTTAGGTTTATACCAACTCCTTTCATCTAAACTTTTTCCAAATTTCCATCTTTGGTTTTCAGTCACATCAGGTAGGTAACCAGTTGAATCTGACGTGCTCGAGCAACGGCAAATCCGGGACGTATATTCTCCCAAATGCGTCAAACTCTGAGATACAAGGTTTGTGTTCTGGGCTTTGTAACTGATTGAATGAAAACCCACACCACTTCAGGAAAATCATCATCCCCTTGGACCACATGTTTCATCCTGCAAATACGCCTCTCTTCTTTCTGTATATGCTGTATTTTCCCCTCCACAGCCGTGTGTGAAGTCATTTTATCAGGTTTCATGAATGCAGGCTTCAAACACACATTTTAGTCATCAGGGCTCAGAACTAAATGAAAAATGGCTTTGCCGCATTTTTTGTGTGGAAAAACAAAATATATATATATATCATTTTAGTTTTTTAACCCCACTTTTTGCGTTTAAATGTTCATATGGTACAACTTTACTGCAGATGTTTACAATACTTTTTATTTCTTGGCAGAGGATACTAAGTACAATGTTATTGCAAATTTTTTAACAATATGCATATATTTTTATTAATTGTGATATTAATACTTTTAATTAGATGCTTTGATTTAACATTTCAGTTTTCTTCCGTACGTAAATTTTTATTTCAGATAAATTTATACACATTTTTTAAAACGCCGTTAAAACGCCGTTAAGTATAAATAAAAAGAGAAGGAAATAAAAACAAAGGATCTCCAACCGGATTTTGTTTCTTGACCCTATCGATACTTCCAATGGGAGTTCTTAAAGTGGGTGGTGGGGACTTTTTAAAACCAAACATCCCCCCCCACCCCCCCCACAAATTCCACGTGTTCACACCAAACCGCAACTAGGGTGGGGCTGGGGCTCGTCTAGAACACCCTATCTCTAGGCCTTATTCTCAGTTATAGCACAAATACCAATTCTATATTTTTTTCTATTAAAAAACGTCGTCTGTGGGAATCGAACCCACGACCACGTGGCTTACGTGATTAAAAGCCACGTGTCTACCGGCTGAGCTAAGACGGCTTGACTGTAATGCGGTAAAACAAAATATTAAAACATGCTTTAATAATGGTGGCCGGCGGTGGCGGTTTCCCGGCGGACATAGGCGGATGTGAGTGACCGTTTCGAGAACGCAGGCAATGTTGAAGGTGGTAATGGTTCAGTGTTAAGTCGGCTTTTGCAGACTGAGAGTGATTTTGGGTTAAAGAAGAGGATCCCCCTCAATTTCACGGCAGCTTTGAAACATCAAATCCCACTCTCCTTTATTATTATTTTATTTTTTCTTCTTTTTTTTTAAAAAAAAAAAAGAAAAAAAAAACGAAACCTTTTATTCTCTATTTTGTTATATAATAAGCAGCTTTTTTTCACCGTTTAGCTTTCGTATCAGTAAAATAGGATGGGACATGAGTGCTTTTTTGAGGCGACAATAAAGTGATGAAGAAATTGCATGGGGGATTAGATATAGAAAGTGATGAAGAAATTGTGAAAAAGAACAAGTTTTCATTAGAGGTTTAGATGGAAAGATATGGAAAGATAAAAGAGACGTAACGCATCACTGACAAAAGGAGGAGGAGGAGTAGCAGAGAAGAAAGGTTGAGTGTCCATCAAAGTCCGTCGCCTCGGGCCGCGAAACCCGGACTACAGTCCACCCTCTTAATTCCAATTCCAATTTCATTTTCTGGGGTTTGTTTTGCTGACGTCAGAGCTTCAGAATTCCCCTTCTCGGCGGGGCCACCGCAAGGATTCCGCGATCCTCACTCTGACTCTCGGACCCGGTGGACGCTCTCTGCTCTTCTTTTGCCTTATTCGCCGCCTTCAGAATTCCCATTCGCTTCCTTATCCTCCATTTCTCTCTCTTTGTCTCTCTTTGATTACTATTACGAATGAAAAGTAATTACATTTGAAACTAAACCCTTGATGAGAATTTTGATAGGGACAGAAGTGAATGAGTGGAATGGAGGGTGGCGCAGGTTAAGCGCTTAAACCAAGCTTAAAGCTTTCTGCACCATTAAATGCCAAGCAACACCCACTCCCTTCCCCCCCCTCCCTTTCTCTTTCTGGCGCTGCAGCAGCTCTGATCCTCAGCTGTTTCGCTCTGTCTCAATCGTCCCCTCTGCCTTTATACATATATTATAATCCAACAGTGACTAAACCAAAGTTAATGCCTGCTGTGGCTGTGGCTGTGGCTTTCCCACCCCCTTCTCTATCACTCTCTTCCATATATTTACCTCTTTTCTTCCCTCTCCTTCAGCACAGCACAGCACACCCACGCCCTTCACTTCTCTCACCTTTTGGGGGCTTTTACAGAATTGGGTTTCTTTTTCTCTGTTTGTTTCCACTGAATTGGGCTCTGTTTGGCTGGGGAACCTTGTACTTATCACTACCAGTGTATGCACTCATCTCCCTTTCACCTTTCATCTTTTTATGTTTCTTTTCTGGTTTCCATGTGTTTTTATGCACAATTCTCTTGGATTTAGCACAATTTTTGGTGATACTCTAATGGGTTCTTCCTGTTTCTATCACTGCTTATCTCTGCTTTGTTCTTCATTACTTCATTACTTCAGCTTCTGATCTGAAATGTAAAATGGGTCGAGCTTTGATTGCTGTGTTAGTCTGTCTTTTCCCTGAAATTTGTTTCAGTTTTGTCATCTTCTTATCATAAGTTCTTGATGTTCATCCTTTCTTAGATGCTGTGAAGAGGAAGGCTGTGGGGGAACTAATAAATGTGGAGCCTTCAACTCAGCTGTGAGTGTACGTTTGTAAGGCAATTCAGTTAAAATTATCTCATGGCCACTTCCAATGGGGGATTTCTTCAAACGGATTCATCCACTCCGCCACCGTCTCTTCCTCCTTGGCTTTCCAACTCCAACGGCGGTTCTTTGCTCCGACCGCCTTCCCCGTCGGTTACCTTAACGCTCTCTTCCCCCACAGTTCCAGCCTACTCTCCCATCCCCTGGCTGCAACAGCCAGAGAGAATCCCAGAAAACATGCCTCTTGTGTTGGGCAATTTGGCACCTCATATGTCAATGGCATCATGTGGTGGAAGCCTGTTTGCTTCGGAGCTTGTGGAATGCTGCCGAGAGCTGGATGAAGGGCACCGTGCTTGGGCAGCGCACAAGAAGGAAACGGCGTGGAGGTTAAGACGACAAGAGTTGCAATTGGAGTCGGAGAAGGCGTCCCGGATTCGTCAAAAGATGGAGGAGGTTGAAGGGAAAGTGAAGGCTCTTAGAGAAGAAGAGAAGAGTGGTTTGGAGCGGATTGAAGCAGAGTATAAGGAACAATTGGCAGGGTTGAGAAAGGATGCAGAGGCCAAAGAACAAAAGTTGGCTGACCAATGGGCTGCTAAACACTTGAGCCTCACTAAGTTTCTTGAGCATATGGGTTGCAGGACTAGAATTGCTGATTCCAGTGGTAGGTGAGTTCAAGTTTGGTGATTGCCTCTCAAGTTCTTCATGGAAAACCCTTCCTTTTTAGGTACTCTTTTTGTATTTTTACTTCCATTTTGTATCCATTGACATCTGAAATTATGCATCAATGTCCTCCTACACTTGCCTCGTATTCATATATGGTGTACAAACATCTTCTTAACAGACGTATTTTTAAAACGTGAGTTTGTCGACTATACGTAATGGGCCAAAGTGGATAATACATGATAGTGGTAGGTTTGAGTTGTTACAAATGGTTTCATAGCTGACACCATGATATTGGGCCCCAAGGGGAGAATTGTGAGATCACAGGTCAATTGTATAGGGCGAAACATTTCTTATAAGCGTGTGGAAACCTCTCTCTAATAAACACGTTTTAAAATTGTGAGGCTGACAACGATAAATCGAACAATATCGGCTAGTGATTGGCTTAAGCTGTTACAAATGATATTAGAGTCAAATACCAGACAATGTGCCAACGAGAATGTTGGCCTCTAAGAGTGGGTGGATCGTGAGATCCCACATCGGTTTTGCCGGTGAGGATGTTGGCCTCTAAGAGGGGGTGATCGTGAGATCCCACATTGGTTGTGCCAGCAAAAATGTTTGGCTCTTAGAGTGGATCGTAAGATCTCACATGGGTGTAGAAATCTCTCACTAACATTGCGTTTTAACACCTATTATTACAATAAATATTATATTATATATATATATCGATGGAACTCTCACTAACATTGCGTTTTAACACCTATTATTACAATAAATATTATATTATATATATATCGATGGAACTCTCACTAACATTGCGTTTTAACACCTATTATTACAATAAATATTATAAAAAAATTAATAAAATAACAAATGTATGAACACCAATTAGTTTACCATTACATCCACTCTCATTATATTATTTAAAATTTATATGTATTTTAGGAGTGGCTTGTCATATTGTGGCAATAATTCATACAATATAATAATTTTAATGTTATAACATTCAATGTATTCCATGATTGACTATACATTTAATTTTTTATTATTTTATTGAGTTAATTTTATCTAATAAAGAAAAAAATTTTGAAATTAAAAATAAGGTGGAGCTTGATTTAATTATGGGATTAAGATATTATTAATCTTTGTTCTTCCAATTGGTGAAGAAAGCAATAATTTGAAAAAGAAACGCTTAATATTAATATTGTTTAATAATGTTGAAACGAAGAGGGGAGGGGGAGAGTGTGTGGCGGCCCAGACAGGCGCACATGTGAAATGGGCCTGGGCTGTTTCCGACAACAGCATTTTATTACATTTCACCGACTTAAGCATTGCGTGAGACAAAATATGGACTTTACTTATTTATTTTTAATTAAAAAAAGGAAAAATAGTTACGCAATCGAAGAAAGATACGATCAAGATCAACCATTTCCTTCGAAGGGTTTCTGCATTTCCGTTTGTAATTTCAACAACTTTGGACGAAATTTCTTACTTATACTTACCTTCCGCGATGAACTTTTTTGTGGACGATGTTCGATTTTCTATACGCTGATCGCGGTTCTGAAATTTGGTGAAACAGTCCACTATTGGGAGCGCAGAGGGATCAAGAAGATAATCTCAGTGTTGAAATTCACTGCTCCTGTATTGAATGATCGAGACGGGACCAATTAGAGGATTGAATTTTAGGTTTCGGATTTCTTGTCGAGTAGTTGTTGGTTGGAGTTGAAACCTGGGGAGTGCAACCTCTCGGCTACGGCGCTGTTTGTGTTGCGCTGACTGTTTTGTGCCATATTGGCGCTCCCGGAGAATGGACGACATGGATATTGGTTCCCCTTCTGAATCTGCGCCACTTAAGCCGCGTGATCGAATTCTGCGGGTATGCGATTCTCTTTTCCCGTTTCCTATTTGTACATTTCATTTCAAATTCGGTGTTGATTCAGGTAAGGATGTTCTTTC